GAAGGATGGAAGACTGGGTCAACCTTGAGCCTCTAAGAATCAAATTGCTGGCAGTCAGCACAATTAGCCTGCAATACTACATTCTAACCACTGTGCCACCATGGCTCTCCACTGTTGTCTTCTTTCACTGCTGATGGGGCTGCATGGCCTGTTTGCTGGGCCACACTGGGGCTGGTTTCACCTTGCGAAAATGAAAAATTCAGACTGCTTTTGGCTCCCCCCCCCCCTTTTTCACAGAACAAAGTCAGCTTCAGGCTGGTCCAGCCCCAGACCAGGCATGCTTCATCAGCAGTGGGAACAAAGCGGTGGCGAAAACAAGGTGGGGCAGCAGGGCAGCAGAAAGCCAAAAGGCAGGAAATGGGTGGGATGGGCAATTTGCAGCGCTCTTGTAGTAGTGTAGGGTAGCCAAGCACCTGGTGCTGCACACAGGTGCTGCAACGGCTATAACTTCAGGCATGGGTTGTAAGTCCCTATGTTCAATGGACAAGTCATCATAAGCTTCCTCAACTTGCAAGGAGAAACAAAAAACTTGCCCAGCTAGCACATTATTTACAACAGCAAGTTAAAAATGGGGTAATATAAATTTTAATAACACATATTGAATTGGGTTTACAATACCAACAATGACTAAGTAACAACTCTGCTCTTTCCCAAGCTACTTTATTTCCCAAATTTTCTTTCTAAAAAATTTAACTATATGGGGTTTTTACTTAGTGCAATCCTATCTATGCCTTACTTTCTCAATCCTTACACAAATCCCAGTATTTCCCCAGAAGATATTTATAGCACCTTCAAAATCCACCCAACCACCAGTGTTTCAAAATAATAGTAAAACAAATAGCTATTCAACAATGGCTAGGTGATGTTATGCTACTGGAGAAATGGCCTAGAGCTGTTGCTTCAATTGCCCTTTTAAAGTGGATATTACTAGCAACACTTCTTTAAAGGAAGAATAGAGGTGTTATCTTATCAATTAAAAGCCAGGCTTCATATATTAAAGCAGAACTGAGAAACTATAAAGCCTTCACGTCCTGTGGACTTCAACTCCCAGCATTCCATGCTGCCTCAGGAATTGTACCACCACAGGCCGTAAAGATGCCATAGTTGCCCACCTCTATATTAAAGTAAAGGAGGTTCCTCCCATTCTTATTTGGAACAGCTTCTTTAAGGCTTGCCTTCTTCTTGTTGTGCAGGCTATTTCCAAATGGACACCTTCTAAAGTTGCTAGGGAAAACACTTTTCCTTCTTAGTGGTTACAATTTTGGGGCTGAAAAAAAATACAGAGAAACATCAGAGAGCAGCTAATCTCTTTCTTGCCATCTAATGGTTCTCTGAATTTTTGCAGCAAGGGGCTGTCCTAACGAAGTGTCTTAAAAAATTACAAAGAAGTGGGAAAACATGAAAGTTACCAATCAAAGAATTTCATCATCAAGATTGTCCAATAAAATGCTACATTTGAGACAGGACAAGCACATGATGCAAGCTGAATTAGAAGACTCTTATCTATTATGTAATAGCCTAAGATGATCGTAAAATATAATTTCCCTAAATAAAAATATACAACTCTAATTACATTTAAGAAATCAGATTTTTCTGATAAACTCTGTTCTTCCAATGTATGATTTCAAATACAACACTATAGCTTTGTGATGACGAACTTATGGCACACGTGCCAGAGGTGGCACACAGCAGCTCTTCTGGTTTCTGGCGTGTGCATGTGCATGGGCCACCTGGTCTTTGGGTTTCTGGCACATGCATGTGTCCCGGCCAGCTGGGTTTCGCGCATGCCAGAGCACCGGAAACCCGAAGACTAGCTGGCCAGTGCTCACGCACTCACGCATTCTGGTTTGACCACTTGATGCCGAAAAAGTTCACCATCACTGCTATAGGTAGTCCTCCATTTACAGCCATTTATTTTACTGACCGCTTGAAGTTACAACGGAAGTGAAAAAAGTGACTTATGACAGGTTTTCACATTTACAACAGTTGCAGCATCCCCATGGTCAAATAATCAAAATGTGGGCACTCAAGAACTGGCATATATTTATGACAGTTGTTCTTTCTTGAGGCCATGCGATCGCCATTTGTAATCTTCCCAGCTGGCTTCCAACAAGCAAAGTCATTAACCAACAGGAATCACTTACCAACTGCAGCAATTTCATTTAACAACTGTGACAAAAAGGCCGTAAAATGGGACAAAACTTAACAATTGCTTTGCTTAGCACAGGAAATTTGGGGCCCTATTGTGGTTGTAAGTTGAGGACTACCTGTATAGGAAATATATCCAATAATACATAAGTTTGGGGCATACATTAAAGTGCTAGCGCTCTGAAGATACCCTGTCCACCAAGAAAGAGTGTCATCAAATATTCCGCCTAGATTACACAGCCAGCAGCAGCCAATTAGAGAGGCAGTTCTACGACAAGCTCACTGCTTCTGTGTTCATTCTGATAGAGCGTGTAATACTAATAGTAGGAAATGAACCTTTTGTCTGGCCAACTTGGATACGTCTTCCTTGCTGGTTCTAAATCTGACAGTCCTCCCCCCCATTAAGTCCAAACAACTAAAGGACACTGCAGCTCCACAGCCCATTGACTGTCTATAACCAAGTTTGTGCTGGAGTACCCGTCTCTATTATGAGGTAACATTCATGACCTGAGATTTGATGGTCAAATACAAAAATGTCTACTTTGAAAGTATCCAGCAGCATGCAATGGGAAATGCATATGCCATTTTTCAATTTCCTAATGTTTGAAGAGTTCCACAGAGCCTCAAAGAAGACTAACATCATGCATGATTTGGCATTCTCTGTGCTAAAATGAAGGCCTCTGATATGTGATAAATCTCATGCCCTATGCTTTGATGGTTAAATATGAATATTTCTGTTCCAGTTACCTGAGTGCCTTATGATGTGTACATATTTAAAGTATTTCTGGAGAATACTTTTGGAGGAAAAAATATATAAATACCACCCTTCAATTCTTTTAACTATCTGAACTCATCTTAAACGTAGCCTAGTGAGAAAAGGTACAGAAATGTCCTATCCAATTCTTTCATTTGTTGTATTCTAGCAATCAGGTATATCATTTATATGGACATCTTTGACAAACTAATGTAACCTTAGTTCATTTTACATTATTGGTATAGCCCTTCTTAACATAGCTATTTGTGCACTTTTTCTTTGTGTGAAACTCTACTTTTTATCATTTGTTTAGTTTACTCGAGTGTCCTGCTATCTTTGTAATATTTGAATGCTAATCTTGCTTATTTTTTTCAACCCATTCTGTAACCCGCCATTCTTAGAAATATGAGCATTAGAATCTTGTCCTGGATACATTGACCAGAAGGTTCTCTCTCTCTCTGTGTATTCCTTACTATCATTTTGTAATTATTAGCTTATTAAAAGTATTGTGGAAAATAAACACCATGCTTGCCACTCACTCTGAGAACAATCTGAGATGTGAAGTGTGTGTGTGATGCTACGTTTTCTGACATTTCTAGACCGGATATTCCTTATTGACCCAGGAGCTCCAAAATATCTCCTTTATGATACATTTATGAAGTTCTGGCATCCCATCCTTTTCAATGAGGATATCCCCTATACGTACAAAGGGCTTCATGTGCTCAGGGCTGCTTTTTCATTCCAGGGAGGAAGGAGAAGCAAGAAATCCAGATAAGGACTGCAGCACATTTGAGATCAAGGTGCAGGTGAAAGGCCAACAGAGTATAATTACCACGGTATATTACTTTTGATGGAAAAGATTAAGGATGTTTGGTGGATGTAACTTTCAGACTAGGAAAATAGTACACCTCATTCTGTGACATGATAAAGAGAACAGGCCATCATGGTTCAGAATTCGCATGCCAAATAAGCACCAAAGACTTTTGAGGATGCCTTATCATAATACTGCTTCTCTAGTGCTTTGGCTGGATGAAATCTCTTTCTTGACTATAAAGCAGTGTGAACAATGTCACATTAATCTTTTCCTGTGAAACACATTCAACTTTTAATACGTTTAATGCACAGCATAAAATCCAAATATAAACACCTCTTTTTAACTCTTTGCAAAGTCTTTTTTTTTTTTACAAACTAGGACATTAGATGGATAGGATCCTTGTGCCTGATATAGATTCTTCATTAAGGCTTAGCTTTACCAGCCCCAAAAGAGTCATGGGTTTTTTCATCCTTCTGCAAATCATCTACCGTAGCTGAACCGGACTTTCCTTGTTGGGACAAAGCCAAAAGCTCTAATCCCGTCTTCAGTGCTAAGGTACAAGGAAGATGAGAGAAGTTATCCCTTCCCTAGTTCTCATATACCTAGGAGAAACCATGGATAAATCTTTTAAACACTCTGGGTGCCATCAGACTTGGAACATGCAGAGAGGACCCTTCATGCATAAAGCTCTGCACATCAACAGCACTGTTCACACCTGTTCACAGGTTCAGTGAGTGAAACTCCATTTCATCTGTGCTACAGAACGTGCATTCATTTCCACGTTTTTTTTTTAAACATGCCTGTCTTCACCTCTAGTTTATTTCAAGTTGCTGAAATAATTTCATATGGTCTAGCAAATGCAAAAAATATCAATGCGATACAGGTTTGCTGCAATATATAAGCACGGGAGGAAAAAAAATATCCACTGATGTTTAAAATGGAAAGGATTTGAGCTTTTCCATTCATTCATTATTTTTGGCACAGTTGAGTGTTTACATTTGGTAGTCTGAAATAAATACATTAATATTATTTATTCTAACCGTATCTATAGCTATATATAAATTCACCTTCCAGTAAACAAGTACTAGAGATTTTTTTAAAATATTTTTTTTTTGCTTATAATGATTTTGTAATTTACTTTCTCTTCATTTTATTTAACTTTTTTTTTCACTGACTGCAACATGCTCAGGTTGACTTTCCAGTCAATTTCACCCAAATTCCAACAGGAATTGGTTTATAAATTGGTTCCAACTGGAACTGGTCATTTGGAATTTCCATAACAGGAAATTATCATATGTGCGCTTCAACAGGTAGTCTACATTTACAAATCAATGTGTCTAATTATATCTAATGGAGAGAAAAGATAACAATTTGAAATGAAACATTACATGGGAAAGAAAACACATCTAAGTGTCTGAGCAAACTCATTTCTTTCTAAATGGAAAGGGCATTATCAATCTCAGCGTTTCTCTACCTCGACAACTTTAAGATGAATAGATTCACCTCCTGGAATTCTTTCCTTAAATTCTTAAATTTGCTGAGGTTGAGAAATGTTGATCTATCCTCTTTTGCCCTTCTAGAGCACGAAATGACAGCAGCCTGTAAGCATCAAGATGCTTTGTTTGGCCTAGCTATGTTACAACAGAGGTGGCCAACCAATGAGTACCATTTGCCCCCAGGTTCGTCAATTCAAAGCCTCTGTCGGGAATCATGGCTATATCCTCCAGGAGACCCTCGGTTTCTTTGAGGTTTGTATGAGTCTTGATACGAATCAGAGTACTCTTCTTCCACCAGAGGGTAGTGATCTCGGCTGTGTTGGGAACTGGAAGACAAGCGGTTCCTGCTCTTCCGAGCCCTTTCGTTGTGGTAGTTTTCATCTGAGGTCATTAGACTTCGTCGTTCGATTGGAGAATTCTCGGTAGAATGGTTGCTATGCCTCAGACGTTGGCTCTATAAATAGCAAAGCAGTTAAGCATTAAAAAAGGTGGGGGGGAGGCTGGATGCCACAAGTTTGTGTCACTCTTCTGAATCTGTTTGCAAGTTTGTCCCAAAATCGTTGATTTAACATATAATTGGCTGCTGTTTAATATATTTAGGCTCACCATCTGCTTTCAAAAGCTGAGGTAAAGAAAACAGCAGAATGTGGTGCCTTGGTTTAATTTAAAATACTTGGCCATGAGAACAGAAAAATCAGATCTCAGGTTTACTGCCTGGTGAAAAATTTAAAAGCTATCTTTTAAAACTTGAAAATAAGGCCCACCCTGAACAAGATCTTAAAATAGGCTTCTGTTGAAGTTCTAAATTCATCTGCTTTTCATTCCAAGCTTTATAGAAGATCTGAAATATTCCACTGCTCAGCTCCTGCTATGTATTACTTAACTTACCTTCACCTACAATTTTTTTGCTCTATCTATACTGGATGAATTCATATTTACATTTCTTAGTAATGGATTATGAAGTAACTTCCTTATCTCCAAGTTATTCAAGTCAAGGGTATAATCCTTGAGTGGGGGCTAATACTGCAATATATCACTGCTATTTTCTTTCTGCTTGCTGACAATTCTAGAATTAAGTAGGCAACACAGATAGGCAAAGCAATCTTGTCTCTTACTAACATTTGGAGTAACTACAATGGCTAGTACAAGCTCATAGATAAGCTGCGAACACTGTAGGCATGTTTAGTTTGATTTGCAAACTGGCCCAAAGGCTCTTATTATTTAGTGTACAAACTAAGAGTCACTACCCTGTATTGAGATATGTGTATGTGTATGTATGTATGTATATGTGTATATAAAGGTAAAGGTAACACATATGTGCTAGTCATTCCTGACTCTATGGGGTGGTGCTTATCTCCGTTTCAAAGCCGAAGAGTCAGCGCTGTCGAAGATCTCTCCGTGGTCATGTGGTCAACATGACTAAACACTGAAGACACACGGAACGCTGCTACCTTCCCACCAAAGATGGTTCCTATCTTTCTACTTGCATTTTTACATGCTTTCGAACTGCTAGGTTGGCAGAAGCTGGGACAAGTAATGGGAGCTCACTCCGTTACGCGGCACTAGGGATTTGAACCGCTGAACTACCGACCTTTCTGATCAATAAGCTCTGCGTCTTAGCCACTGAGCCACCGCGCCCCTATAGATGGTCCTAAATATGATATAGTTGATCAGCATCTCTGCAAGTAGTTGCAAGCTTTAAAAAAAACCCTATGGGTCAATGCCTTCATAAGATGGTATGAAACAGCCTTTATAAACCACGCAGGATCTAAAATTTATTCCTTGGGAAAACAGATTAACAGTGAATGGAACTGGGGTATGTGGGGATTGTGCTAAAGCCATCTAAGAGAGTTTGATTTGTCCATTTCATTTGCCCTTGCTTAGGAACAAAGTTCAAGAGAAGGGTCTGGCCAACACAAACAAGATGGAAAACGAAAAGTTTCACAGTTAAAAACAAGCATATTTCCACAGAACTCAAACTGTTGCTCGTACAGTCAACCAATCACTAAGCAGAAACAATGCTATGTGTAGAACCTGGCCCTAAAATATTAAACACAAATTCAAAAGTTAAATGCCTTCTTCTGCATCCATGCGGTGACAGAAAGAAACAGAGCACTTAGATAGTGAACGAGTATATTAAAAGCCATCAATTTGACTAGCAGATTGAGTTTGTGGGATTTGCTTAATCCTCCAACTGACATACAGACTATGGGAAGTGTAACACGTAGTAAAAGCCACACACATTGTGCTGAGTTGTTTAGCGACACTGGCCTCCGTGCATTCTCTGTGCACTTACAAACATAGACAACTTGAACTGATAAGACATTTTCCCCCCAACTTAGTAAAACACGTACTTCTGATTAAGGACTATTTACATGCCACGTTTGAAGTGTCAAAGGCCCGCCGTTTTTGAGCTATCCCTGTGGAAAAAAATGTTCAGAATCTTTTTATAATTGGAATAATATTTTATTAATCATTTTTTTAAAAAATCAGAACAGATGAACCAATTTTTTCTGAACTGTTACCTCGAAGAAGAAATGAGGCAAACTAGACTAGAGGCAGGGCATTAGCATCATATTAATACACAATTTTTGTGAGTTGATCAACCTGGAGAAAATAATGAAACTAATCTATTTGCAACAATTGGTGGCACCATAACATATCTGACATGCTTATCTTTTCAAGAAATTTTTGTGCAGCAGGTTTTTTCCACGATAAAAAGGGAGGATCTGGTTATGTTCCATCATCCCCTTTGATTTACGTACAACAATCTTAACGTTACTCATATTCTATTTGTATCCGAACAAAACTTGCCAGAATTAAAAAGAAACCAAAGTAGCTACAATTTATTTTTCTTGACTAATAAGATCAGTTAATCCAATGCATATATTTGTGCATTACCTGTTGGCTGTGGCATTATAATAACATAGAAGGAGTTGTAGAATGATCACTAAATATTTATATCACTTGTTCACTCCCCTTTTCAAGGGACGCATCCAGTCAAGATTCATTATGTATTGAGACACTAAATAGTGTTACAATCATTGCATACAGATCTGGAAATGTTTTCCCCCAAAATCCAGTGGAGCCAGTATCATACAAAAGGAGTTTACAGACCTGCCACATCTGATTGTATTTTGCTACTATTTGCTAGTGAATTTACTAAGTGAAGGTCACTGTCAGGTATATTTTCACTCTTACTAATTGTATTCCAATGCAACAAACCCACAGAATGCATTCAAAAGCACTGTGAGGCTCATATGAATTACAAATTACAGGAGAATTCCCATATTTTTTTCAATTATCAAGCGCTTTATACCAATCAATGGAAGTAACCTAATCTTTAATGGAAAATGGGCAGAGTCACTTAGTTCAGTTGGGCAGCTATAGAAATTAAACAAACAAACCGCAAGTTTAAATCTCTAGGCACGCTGGTTTCCAAATACAGGTGTCTTCTTATGAGCCATTGGGCTCTGATACAGGATACGTAAGTGCATACCACCAATGACAAACTCATGAGATTCATACCTGTAATCCAGAGATCGCAGTAGGGTAAGGGGATAGTGCAGTGGAGCCAAGGTTTCTTCCAAGCAAAGGTGTCATAGGTGTGCTACTGGTAGTGTGTGTAGCACGCCAGTAGGCCTCAAGGTACTCTGCCAAGTGTTCACAAGCATCTTCAAGTTGATTTTCATCCAGAATAACATCAAACATTTCCTGTTCAGAACATAAGCATTACATTATGTTATTATCAAACTCAGACTAGGAATGGTGATTTTAAAAACAAACTCTTGATCTCAAATACACTATATTGCCGAAAGGATTCGCTCACCTGCCTTTACTCGCATATGAACTTACTGTAAGTGACATCCCATTCCTAATCCATGGGGTCCAATATGGTGTCGGTCCACCCTTTGCAGCTATAACAGCTTCAACTCTTCTGGGAAGCCTGTCCTCAAGGTTCAGGAGTGTGTTTATGGGAATTTTTGACCATTCTTCCAGAAGCGCATTTGTGAGGTCACACACTGATGTTGGACAAGTTTACGTGGCCTACCACTTCGTGGCTGAGTTGCTGTCGTTCCCAAACACTTCCACGTTCTTATAATACAGTTGACAGTTGACTATGGAATATTTAGGAGCGAGGAAATTTCACGACTGGATTTGTTGCACAGGTGGCATCCTATCATAGTTCCACGCTGGAATTCACTGAGCTCCTGAGAGCGACCCATTCGTTCACAAATGTTTGTACAAACAGTCTGCATACCTAGGTACTTGATTTTATACACCCGTGGCCATGGAAGTGATTGGAACACCTGATTCTGATTATTTGGATGGGTGAGCGAATACTTTTGGCAATATAGTGTATGAGTTAGACTTATGTAGCAAGATGGTTAAACTTAATTCATAACCAAATCCAAACCTAACCCTACACTTCCCACTGCAACCTCACAATGGTAGTCTTCACTTAATGACTGCTCATTCAGTGACTGTTTAAAGTTACGTTATTGCTGGAAAAAGAAATTTACAACCGGATCTTGAACTTGTGGCCATCACAATATTTTCCCCATCATATGATCGGGGTTCAAGCACTTGACAACCAATGAACATTTGTAATAATCACAGCATCCTGCAGTCATGTTATTGCCCTTTGCAACCTTCACAAACAAAGTAAATGGGAAAGCTAGTGGGAATTCACAAGTTGTAGTCATGTGATGTCACACCTAAGGACAGCATGCAATTTGATTAATGACCACAGCTTGAACAGATGTCATAAATTGGTCATGGCCATGTTCTGCTCACAGCAGGGCTATTTCAAACCTATTCTATGGAATAATTTTCCCATTTCTTTTGGATTAAACTCCTATGCCACATTCTTTATGCTTTTATTCACCTGGAATCTTATAGTTTAATACAGCTTTCTTCCTCTGGTGTTCTCCATATCTGTGCGGACTGCAACTCCTAGAATTCCTCACCCAAATCTTTCACTAGCAGGAAACTATGAAAGCTTGTAGTCTCCAAACATGTGGAGATTACCAAATTATGGAAGACTGCCATAACTTTATCCTTGATATACTGTCACATTTCTCAGATAGAAGTCTTCCATGCGCACTTGAGTGAGAATTTGCACAGCCAAATTAATAGTTCATCTTCCAGTAACAACTAGATCTCTGAAAGAAAATGTTTGTAATGGAAACGAATTTTGTAATAGTTGTTTCAGAATAACAGCTGAAACCTTTTACACTGTGCAAGATAAAAGAATGAGGACATTTAGAGTACAGTATAACAAAAATGTTGTTTTTAAAAACTCTTTCTTTACACAGCTCCTACACCAGGACATTCTGTATAATAAATGCTGATGCTTACAGCATTTGCATAATAAGAGCTGATCTTAGCATCAGCATATACTGCCACTATGAAAAATTCATAAGGATTTGGAGCTGATAAAGGATTCTTAATTATTAATATTCTACTTCAGAATCTAGGTTTACAATACAATGTAAATTAATTTGCTGTATGTTAAACTTGCTGTATGTTAAAACATTTTCTCTGTTCATAAACATACCCAAACTTGCCAGATATTCAGAAAGAAATTTGGTGTATAATGTACTGTAGATAGATGGATTCAAAAACCAATATTCTCAATGGGTATGGTATATGTAAAGGGAACTATGTGTCAATAAATAACTTATAATGTCTTACGACCACAATTGTGTCTAGAACATCCATCACTAAGGAATAAGGTCTTTAAATAAGTTGCCCCCAATTTTACGACTGTTGCCGAAGTCATTTTGCAAATGAAGTCTGCTTGTTAAACAAATCCAGTTTCCCCCACTGAATTTGCTTGTTGGAAACCCCCTGGAAAGATTGCAAATGGAGATCACATGACCCCAGGATGCTGCAACTGTTGTAAAGTATTGTTGTCACATGATCTTGGCTTTTTATACCTTTTTGTACCTTTTACCTTGAGTGCGAGGACTGGTTGTCCAGTAATTTTGTTTAGTGGTATTGTAACTTTGAACAATCGTTAAATGAACAATATGTACTGTTTTAATATGGAAAGGGTGAAATCAGTGAACAAGTAGTATCAACTGGGGAAGTCAATGTAGCAGATAAGTCTCTTTAAAAACTCTCAAAAAGCTGGTTGTTGGTTTCAGCAGTTGCCAAAGATTTTACATATGAATCCCTGAGCAATGTAAGCCTTCAATCCTGTCATAAATAAAACTACAAGAAAGACAAAAATGTGGATGCTCACGGTTTCCATGGACACTTTGTCACTCACACATCTGCCTTTTTTTTTCAAAATACATGTAAATGTATGCTTATTATTGATATGTTATTATTTATTAAATGTTTATGCCACCCTCTCCCCTCCAAAGCAACTCTGGTGGTTTATGAGTTATAAAACATTAAAACTACACAGCTTAAAGTACTATTAAAAACTGTACAGGTAGTCCTTGACTTACAAGAGTTTGCTTGGTGACCACAATTATAACAGCACTGAAAAAAGTGACTTACGACCATTTTTCACACTTATGACCATTGCAGTATCCCCCACAGTCACATAATTTATATTCACATGCCTGGCAACTGACTCATGGCTGCAGTGTCCCGAGGTCATGTGATCACCTTTTCAACCTTCCGACAAGCAAAGTCAATGGGGAAGCCAGGTTCACTTAACCACCATGTTACTAATTTAACAACTGAAGTGATTCACTTAACAACTACGGCAAGAAAAGTCGTAAAATGGCCCAAAACTCACTTAGCAACAGAAATTTTGGGGTCCATTGTGGTTGGAAGTTGAGGACTACCTGTACTAAAACCCAAACTTATAGAGCTAATCTCTCTCTCTCTCTCTCTCTGCACTGGTAATTCAGATATTTTCATTATATTCAAATAGTTTCATGTATGTTCGCCAAATCACACAATATAAGAAGAAACATAGTTAATGCTTTCTGTCTTCCGTTTGCTTCCTAATAATACTGTTTGAACACCAGGCACTCAGCTTCCCTTGTCTTGCCTTTCATTACAAGAAATGCAGAAATCATGGAAAATTACTTAGTAAGGAAAATGTAATACACTGGACCGCACAGAGAGCTTTCATTTTCCTAGTGCACATTTCTCTGGTGTTGTGGGTGGAAAGGAAGTGGGATGTTAAAGAAAAGAACAGTAAATGCAGTCGCTACTATAATCCTACACATCACAGCAGGCCCTGGCCATGATTCTCTGGCTGGAGATGGAAAGAGGAGAGCTTCTTTGCCAAGACTCATGACCTAACATATTTTTTTAACACATTTCGGATTTAACACAACTCTCTTCTCCTGAAAATAAATTTATTGGAAAATAAAGCACTTCATTCATGCAAAGGATTCTGCTATCTCTATTTTTATTATTTATATATATTTTTAAAAATGCAGTCCTGAACTTACTGGCGGACACTGTGCAAGCTTATCGGCTGCAACCAGTTGGACATTTAAATGTTTGCTCTGCGACTTTCCTCTTGACTTGATCAGTCGCTGTAAAACCTGAAAAGACAATGCAAAGTAACAGTGAGGTTGCTTCATGGCTGTCAAACTTGTTTTTTTTAATGACATGATACTTCACATTTTATGCTTCACCTAGTAAACTCAAAAGTTTGTTGTATCTCTATATAAGTTTGTCCTCCTCTGGTAGAATTCTCAATATTATTGCTGGATTTGTGTACTAAAGGATCAAATTAAGACTGGATAAATCCTGCGCCAAGGGATTGGATCCTCTTCAAACATGGTGTCTACAAAAATCACTGCCTGAACTCTTCTCTAGCCCTGGACAAGTATTTATTAGCATTTTATTTAAGAGCATTTAATTTAAGTGCTTTGCAAAATACCAAAATAAAATAATTTTATCCATATGATCTAACCTCTACACTTGAATGTGATCAAAGGAAAGGCAGAGAAGAATAATATGGTATCAACAGGATGATTTCAGGCATGTTTCACCAAAGGAAAAGAGTTGGCATTGAAAGTTGAAGGAGAACAAATACTGCATTTTTCAGAGTATAAGACACACTTTTTTCCTCCTAAAAGAGGCTGAAAATTTGGATGCATCATACTCTGAATGTAGCCCCAGCCTCCCGCCGGCCCATACCCTTCAACCTCTGCGAATCCTCTTCCTGGCTGCAGAGATTGCCACCAACAATGGCTTGGATTTTTGGGCTCCGCATGTTGCGTTTTCAGCCTCCAAATGCTCGATGTGTGGTACCCAAAATGGCTACCCGGAACAGCTGCTGCCTTCTCTTACCCCTTCCCTGCTTTGCCTACTTTAGTCACTGGAGCTCCCTCTGACAATCAGAAGCACAGCCCCCACCATCCCCAACCTCAAAACCAGAGAGCGAACTAATGTGCTGAAGCTGACCAGGCTAAGGACTTGCCAGATGAATACCTGGCAGGCAAATTTCCCCCACCCCACCCCATTTTCCTCCCCAAAAACTAAGGTGCGTCTTATACTCTGAAAAATATGGTAATTGAATGAGTAAGTAAAGTACACTGCCTTAAGAGCAGAAGATAAGACAGTGGAAAATAAGGTCTTCTTTGGAAAATAAATAATATAATGTGATAGCATTCTCCACCACAGATTAGAATATTTCCTGAATATCATTTATGGTAATTTCTAATCAAAAGTATATTTTCTCCACTTTTATTAAGTCAGTATAAATCAGTCAGGTTCCAAGTACCTCTCAAATTTCTATTTTTAGAGGCATGTCACTTGTATGCTTTCATGATTTGGTTTGAATGTTGTTCAAGTGCTACTAATTCCTTTTCATTCTCTCTCTAGAACCTAATAATTCCTTGTGGATTTCCTTTTCTCTATACGCTCATGATCCTGATCATGTGATCAGAATTCAGATGCTTGGCAACTGGTTCAAAGTTATGGCCTTTGCTGTGTCCCGGGGTCATGTGATCACCTTTTGCAACCTTCTGACAAGCAAAGTCAATGGGAAAGCCAAATTCGCTTAACAACTAAGCTACTCACTTATTAACTGCAGTGATACACATAACAGCTGTTGCAAGAAAAGTCGTAAAATGGGCCAAAACTCACTTAACAAATGTCTCACTTAGCAACAGAAATTTTGGGCTCAATTGTGGTTGTAAGTCAAGGACTACCTGTACTGTTCACTTGATATAACTTCCAATTTAATACATGGCGAAACATAATACATTTTACAAATGTTCAGCTGTTCTGAGGTAGTTTCCACTGAGGAGTGAAATTATATCTAAGTACAACTCAAAGCTACATTATTTCAATCATGGGCTAGAGATAAGATGCAGGTAACATGTCATACACAAAGCAAAGAAAACTATTTCCACGAGGACATGTATGAATGGAGAAAGGCTAAGAGACAAAGAGGCCTACCTTTGGAGATGACACTTTAACATGGACAATAATTGGAGCTAACGATGTCTTAATAAGTTGTGCAGGGTGGTTAATTGTATCTGCATCTAAAACAACCAATTGCAAGGATCGTGCCAGTTCAAAAATTCGTTCAATCTCACTTTGTACTTCCGCTGAAAAATGAAAAAGACGCAGAAAACATGAGTAACATATTTTGGAACAAATCAAAGTACTTAAGTACAACTTTGAACTTCATATACAGTATTTCCACTGTGAAGAAGATCCATCTACTATAGAGATGTGCCTTCTAATCATTGTGTATGTAACATTAATCATGCAAAACTGAACTAAGAAAGAAAAGAAAAGAAAAACTACCATTATAGGATGGATGGTAAAAAAAGAGAAGGTTTTAGCATCTACATGCTTTATTCAGTACCAAAACATGACGTCTCCCAATAATTTCACGTGCGGAGAGAGGCAACATGGATACTGGAGGACCAGGATCTCCATTGCTCCTCTCCCATTATCCCCAATTAAAATTGCTTGCTTAGGGAAGAGCAGAACTACTATAATAATGTGCTCTCAATCCCCAACCCTCATAGTGACACAAAAGAATACCATGATTGATGACACTAAAACCCACTAGGAGATCTAGTAGACCAAAGCCAATTGCTCTCTCCACACTAGGTCATCCACAAGAGTCGTTAATGTGGTTTCCATCCCATGTTCAGGACTAAAACTGTTGCCCAACAATATAAGTAATCTGAATTTTCCAGAATCCTTGGTAATGTTGATCTACCATCTTCCTCCCAAAGGGAAAGTCAGGGACAGGACAGTATTTGCTCAAAATTGTTGCATCCAAGGCAACCCTCTTGAGAACTTGAAAGAGTTAAGGGCAGTATCTTCTACTCCAGTAATGAAGCACTGAGCACTGCCTTGACCCAGCTCCTTGTTTCCTCTCTTGGCAAGGATCAGAGCATGGCAATTCCATGTTTTTATAACAGAAGATAATACTTCTCCCCTCCTCCACAAAATTTGGGGTTGGGGTGGGGGGAGGAAATAGCCATCACCATGTAAAACTATCGCAATCTATTTCTGGGGAGAAAACTTACCTAAACTGGACCTGGTATTTGACCGTTCAATTATTGCCCTTTTGCTTGGATTATTTAAAACAGATCTCTTGGCAAGAGAAATGTCAGCTGTCACTCTAGTTATTGATATCCTACCAAAAAACAGGACAGAACAAAATGATTTAAATGCAAGTTGTGAAAAATGTTAAATTGCCTTTTACAACACAACATTCTAAAAGAAGCACTATATTGTACAATCAGGGAGGCAAACAATTCTGCTGAAAAGCAAAGCTATTTCATTTACCAAAAACATTTATAAAAAAGCCAGCAGAATACTACTAATGGACCCCATCACATATTGATGCTAGCAAAACATGTACCATTATCGTTCACTGTTTCTGTATACAATGCGTCCCTTCAATTTAATTTCAAAATACAATATGGATATTTACTTTATTAAAACTATTGTAGTAAGAGACTTCCTGGTGGGGGAAATAAGAAATGGTTTGCCTACAAACTGTGGAGACAATGCTGAGGTGAAGATTAGTGATTATTTATCTATTTACTAAGTCTGCATTACGATTACTATTAATCTTCTCATCGTTCCCATCACCCATCTCCTCCCACTTATGACTATAACTTTGTTGCTTGTATCCTTATGATTTATATTGTTTCCTAGTATGATTTGATTGCTTACTTGACTACCATGAAGTGTTTTACCTTCTGATTTGTGACGAATGTATCTTTTCTTTTATGTACACTGAGAGCATATAACTGGTGTACTAACAGTAGAGTTGCTTGTACTCTATGTGGAATTCTTAACTGTCATTTGTCGCCAGATCTCACTGCTTTAGCAGAGTAAGGAAGATACTCAGAGATGATTCACACCCTGGTCAGTGTCTCTTTGCACTTCT